TTGTGTGGTGGGATGATTGATGAAGTGGTACTCCATCTGCCAGAGTATCCCGGACCAGCCCGAGAAGTGCACATTGTCGTAGCCACTTCTAGCTCCAGTATGCGCATAATTGGTGTACTGCAAAAGTACCATGCCTATACACGAAAGCGGAACTAATACTTGAAAATGTCTGCGATAATTATGGTTCGGTCGCAAAGGAGCTTTTAAAAATTCTTACGAGTTCGAGAAGCTCACATCTTCAGGCGTCTTAATTTACTTTCAGACGTATTGGATACTAAGCAATCTCTTCCAGAAAATATTTTTTGTAAAAAAAATGGGGGTCTGATCCAACGAGCACCCTCTGATAAAGCGACATCAAATTACGCAAGTCCTATCAGTTCTGGTTCCAGTAAAAGCTTGTCACTGATTAAAGAGCACTGTTTAAGAATGTTACCAGTTAAGGCATCATAAAATGTCTTCACACACATGACATTCAAATGAAATCCTTCTATTCTTCTACTTCTATTGCTCCACTGGCCTAATGAATTAGCTTAACCTGAACAAGCAATTCTCTAGATTTGAACGCCTAGGTACACCTTTGTCTTCACCGTACACACGCATATGTATATACGTACATTCACGCACACTCAAGCATACCCACGTACACTCACACATACGAAACTGGCGCGATGAACCTTTTCGCATGAGAGCATTCGGCTCAGGTATTCCGACCATACCGGACCATTCGAATTTCTCAGGAAACCGTGTGAATTTTCTCCGAATTCGATTCCATCATCAGTGAAATCATCGCCGAACACGATCAGTTGCGAGCATGGTACATTATGTGGCTAAAAATTGCTAGTTCATGAAGTTCGTACAGTTTTCTGACTGGCACACTCTCCTAATCTGCAAATTGTTATGCCTATTTCTTTCCTCTAATTATTTGCTGTGCCGGATTTATTCTCATAATTAAACTCAACATCAAAAAAGGGAATGAAATGCGGTTTATGTATGAGTTTGTTGATGAAAGTTGGAAAAAAAGAATTCCAGTTCACGAGGTCGCAAATTCCAGTTCATGAGGTTGAAATCAACACTCAGATCGGGCGAAGGCGTCGATCTGTCCCTTCAGTCCACATTTAGGTCTTTGTTTGCAGCTTAGGAATGAAACACAGACTTCAAACTTATCTGATCCACTAGAACATGAAATTTTCAAAAAATCTTAGTAGATATTTCAAGAATATAAAAAGTCACGAAGTCAAAAAATTGCAAGGCGCAATGCGAGCTGGAGATCTTTGGGCTGGAGATTTTAAAATTTGCCTTATTCCAGTAAGTGACTTCAGGCGAAAGCTCAAATTAATTTCGTGAATTCAAAATCGAACAAACTATAACCTTTACCTTCTGCTTAAAGTTAACTGTGTATGGATGAAGGAAATGGACTTCAAAGTCTAGTTGTTTCTTGTTCCGCGACCTCAAGTTGATTTTAGAATTCCAGAGTGTGGCGAGTCATAAACTCAAAATTTTCCTACTTAACTAAAAGATTTGCAACATTTGTTGAATGACTCTAGATGAAATTTCAAATCTTCCTTCGCCGTATCCCATCGCTTTTGGTTCTGGAAACGAAACAGGGCACGAATCCGAAATTTTGGCGCTTTTCAAGCGGTGATTAGAAAAAAAGAAACATAGTGCCATGATTAAACAATTACGTAGTTTTTCACCTTTACCCACCTTAAAAACGCAAGAATGGCAACCGCACTAGCCTCGAGGTGGATTCGCTATTGATTCAGTAAAATGCAAAGCTCCGAGTATTGTCTCAACAGTTGGGTAATGGCGACTGGCAAGAAGAAAAATTTCTGATATGGAAACCATGGAATGTTTGCTGATATGCTTAAATGCCATGATCTTAAAGCTTAACTAAAAAAATGTAGCAAAATCTGACGCTAAGTAAGGTTTGCCGAAAAAAAGTAAAATTTTGATTTTGTTTGAGAAATCAGTCAAAATTTAAAAATACAAATTTTTGCACTTTTTGCTTATCGCGCATCTTTCCGCAGTGTCAACAATTCGAGAAAGAAAAAAACTGATAGAAATGCTCAAAAAAAGTCGTCGCTGTATAATTTGCTGGACAAATAAAATTTTGGCTAATGCCTAGCAAATTACACCACTGATAAGATTACGTAATAAGTTATCGAGCCGTGACAAATGCTCTTCTTGATTTTTTAAACTGCTTGTGTGACAAACAAGAAATGAGGTAAAAATGGCTTTGCTCCAGAACTTAATATTTTTCCAGCAAACTGGAACTACGGATTGAGCTTAGCTCCACATATTGTACAAGTTCCAGCACAACTAAAAAACTTATGCCATAAAGAAAAGTTATGAAAAAAAGATCAACCTTGTGGAGTAAACTAAGAAGAGCAAAATGAGGAAGTAGAATGAGCTCCAGAAACACTCGGCTTATTACTGAGGCCATTCAAGCCGGGGGATACGAAAATATTTTGAATGAGTGATGTCTAGCTGTTTATTTTTTTGGAAAATATCCGACTGGTCAATGGCCACCAGTCACCACAGGCTAAAACTGCAGCTGTACAAACTGACACATCCCCTCATTCCTAACACATGCTTCCTCATTCTTCACCAAAGCTACCTGTTTGAAAAAAGTAGGAAATTGGAGGGTATTTTCGGTGCTTGAACATTCCGACGATATCGCAATTCTGTTGCTCAGGTATAGTTTTAAACGAAAGTGAAAATACAGGGTAACATTAATAGGGACTGAAATGGTCTACTCACAAGAAACTAACACTGCTCATGACATAAGGGTATGTCAGAGATGTTCGCAGCGAAATGGAAATTCCACTTGAAAAAGCTGCAAGGCTGAAACCTTGAAGAGATATTCTACATTCAGGTGTGTTCTAAATTCAGCTTAAAGGCTAATTTCCTGCGCTTGGACAGGACAAACACTCAATTTTATCGCAAACTCAAAAGCTACTGCATTTTGCACACTTTGTTACCCCGCTTTCTCGACATCCTATTTAGTGTCAGGTTTGCATTTTAAGCATTTTTGTATATATGCAAAAACGTATATCGGCAAGAGGCTGTGCATGTGTATGTCTGTGTGGACGCACTTTTTGTCAACCACGTTCAACTCAAGAACTAGAAAAGCTAGAATTCTGAAACTTCGGGAATATGTGCCCACATAGTGGGCGACCCTCTCATTTTAATACCATTACCCGCTTACGCATGGATTTCACGTACAGAAGCTTTAAAAAATATGCAAGTTTTTTGACCGAAAAGCGATCTCGGGAACCAGACAAGGAAGAGGGCTGAAACTTTGCAGGGACATTCTTCGTGTATGCCTGACCAAAGATTTCTAATTCAGCCCCTAAGTATGCGTGATGCTCACGTAGGGACATTTGAAAGTTCTGGCGGAAAATTAGTAATTCGGGAGTCAAAAAAGATAGAAAGCTGAAATTTTAGGGTAATTCTCCCTATCCAGTTACCTTCAGGTATGCGTGGTTTTCACTTGCAGGCACTTAAAAGTTCTGACGGGAAAACTGCTCACTGAACAGCCAGGTAATTTTCAAAGAACGGACGTTAAACGGAAATTGTTCATCTCCTTTTTGCAAAATTTACTATGATTTACGCTAGTGAGCTTAAAAGAAAAGCGTAAAGCAACAACCATTCATAAAATTGACGAGCTGAGTACTTCAAGTCTGATGCAAAACGCATGATCTTGCCGGAAAGCCTAGTGCATTTCAGCCCAGGTTTGCATCTACTGATGATCGCCATTTTCATATATACCTGTTTTTGTCAGGAAATTCATAAAGCTGAGGGAATGGTAGCGATAGCTTAATTGGGGGGCAAACTCGCGTTCCTGCACTGTGGAAATTTCCTTCGAAAATAAGCAGTCATCAGCTAAATAGTCTCAACAGTGGGAAATACGGCAAAACGTCCTGATCATTTTTGTAAAAACCTCATTGTTACTTGAGTGCTGTCACATGCCGAATATAGCCAAGTCCGATGTCCCTAACGCTTACAGCATGTGTTCCAGTCTGGCTAGTAGCACTTAATTTATCAGTCCATTTAGGACTTCCAAAAACTTGTGCAGTGATTGACGTCTGTAACAGATTGTGGCTGTTATTACCGTGGTCGTGTTAGTGATAACAAGTGGATTATTATGCGCACCCAAGAACAAAAGTACTATCACTGCGGAGGGCATCAGTGATAGTACTTTTGTCGCAGGAAAAAATTAGATTTCGACCTATTTCTTATTCTTCTCCCACGCTTTCGAATCTCAATCTTACCCTCTTTTTTTTCCTCCAGCGTGTTTTCGTCTGCTAGCCTAAAACCCTTCTGTACAGTCACTTTGAATTTATTAAGTTTAGATCAGAAGTCAAAATGCTTCCCTAATTCACTCATAATGAAAAGGGGCTCGAGCGGTGTGGATGTATAAAAATCAACCACACGCTGACGAGGCTATTGAGGGTTTTTGCTGTCGAGGTATGTCTGCAAGCGATCTGATGATGAGTTTGTCTCCCTGACAGCTGTGATCGAAACGAATCGACGAAATAACTGCACCACTGACGGAGTCGAGTCTTCAGTTTCTGCTAGAGAGTAATAGTGCCAGCCAATGTACCACTCCTCCAATTCACGTATATCTGTTTCGGACAAGGAATTTTGTAGGATTGCGAAAATA